AAGTTGCTACAGTTTTTTACAGCACAGAAATGTTTTCAAAATAATTTCTAACCAATTTAATTTTCTTTAACTAGGACAGTAAGGATTGAACCCTATATTTTGAATTGCATTGTAAATGCTAATACTGGCTAGAATAACCTTTGAATTACAGCTTGAAATATACTTAAGATTTCATGTGCACTTAGGCAAAAAAGAATGCTCTTTGAAAACATTAAGCAAATTTAATTTTCTTTTTTTCTATTTACTAATTATTTATATTTCCTTCTATTTACTAATTAATATTTACTATTTACTCATGTACTAATTTCTATTTGCTAATTCAAGTATGAGAAATTACACTGAAATGTTAGAAATAGATCAAGTGTCAGAATTATATATAAAATAGGCATACCCAATAGAATGTTATTGCTAGAATTAGAAGTCAGAATTAAGTGCACATATACTAATTAAAATGTACACATAGGTATTTTTCACTGATCCTCTTGACTTTAATCTTCATAAAGAGAACTGGTATTATTATTTTCCCATTTTAGAGATTATAAAACTAAACTTTTTTGAGAAAAATACCATTATTATTCTATTCTTTTTTGTTTGTTTATCTTTTGAGACAGTTTCAATGGCCTGAAACTTGCTTAGTAGACCAGACTGGCCTTGAATTCAGAGATCCGCCTGCCTTTGCCTCCCAAGTGCTGGGATTAAAGGAATGTAACAATTTTTAATAATGTACAAGTGAAGAAGTCATAATCCAACAAACTAACAAATTTGACTACCAAATGGATGTCTTCTGGGTCTAAGACCACAGACAAGATATGAAAAGAACAATGAAGAGTGAAATTGTTCCATGAGATGTTTCTGTTGAAAGAACAAAAGTCATAGGAGCCATTAAACTAAAGAGATGTAATTACAACCAAGGTTTTGAATAAAATCAATTACTTTATTTATATAACAAAAAAAGCAGTTAAGCATAAAATAACAACAGCAGATATGGCTATAACCTGTAATCTAAAATCTGTATGCTACCTGAAGAACACAAGGCAAATATTTAGATACATAGTAGTCCCTGGAATAAAGTTTGTCCTGGGGCTGTACTTCAGAAACCACCTAGGTAGCTTTTCCAAACTGTAAACCATACCCAAACCTCACAGAGATCTGAAGAGAAACAAAGCTCTTCAAGAAAAAAGGCCAGATAGATTTCTGAAAAAGCCTTCCAACTTAATCTAAATACTCTAAAGACAAAATTCTCTAAAACACAAGGAAGTAAAAACAATTAAGTTATTCAGGCAATCAACCTAAAGTCAGATCCAAGTATAGAGGAGATTATGGATAAAGCAGGCAAAACAATCAGGGCTAGTCGTCATTCCTTTTTCTGTTCCACTCACAAAAGAGAGGGGGGAGAGAGGAGGGAGGAAGGAAGGAGAGAGAAAGAAAATTTATTCAAGTGCAATGTAGAAAACATTCTAAAGCTAGATTTTGATTGCTTTCTTTAACAAAGTATTATTTTGAACTCCCTTATTATTTACACTATAGCACACAAATGATGGTCATACTAACCAGAATTGAGAACAGCCGATCAGAGTGCCTCTCTCTTATAGAAATCCTATGTAACAGACATTGCCTGGGACCCAAAGGAGCAAACAGCTAATATATCATACATTTCCAAATAGCATCTCTCTTAATTCTTGAAAAAAGTAATTAAAAATTATCCTTTTTTCCTCCAGACAGGTCCATCAAAACCTAATTCAAGCCAGACCTGGTCACTCACACCTGAAGTTCTAGCACTCAGGAGTGTGAGGCAGGAGAACCAGGAGTTTAAGGTCATCATAGTTACATAGCTGTCCCAAGTTACATGAGACCCTATGTGAGAACACACACACACACACACACACACACACACACACACACACACACACACACACACACGTACATGTGTGTATGTATATATAAGAAATTCAGGCAGGAGGCATTCAACTGATGTATATACCCCAAGGCAAATCAAAGGGTAGGAAACACTTTGCAGTAAGATTTTACTGCTGTAGGTACAGGAAAAAACCAAGTCCTAATGTTTTTACCTGCTAGAATGACAAAGTAATGTTTAAAATCTTTCCTATAATAAAAAATACATGGCAGCATCAAATCATCTCTATTAGGGTTTCAAACTTTAAAATGCAAGAGATTCAGTTAAATACAAATTTCGCATTAACAATTACTGATGGATAAATGTATTCTCCTTTGCAATATTCAGATCATGTGTTTATTCAGAGAACACAGAGGGGAGAAAACTGAGACAAAAGTATTCTGAGTCCCTTAAATTGTTTCTGATAAAAAGACCACACACACCCTGTGTTCCTAATTATGATTTTGCCCGTCATTTTCTCCACTAATTCTCTTTATTACACATCACTTATTTTGATAACACTTTTATCTCTTTTTCATATGTTTCATTTCTGAAATATGTGTGAGCAGTCTTAGTTTTTTTTTAAAAGGAAGTCATTTGTTTTAGCTAACCACTCATAACCTCCAGCTCTATTATTAAAGTGAAAGCAGTCTCTCACTTACATCCACTTTTATTAAGAGAAAAAGGTTATCTTGAAATTCATATACAGAAAGTTGGGGAGTAGTATGGTCTACAAAAATAATTTCTGTACTTCCTGTTATATGATACAGCAGAATAATACTAAAGAAAAAAATGTGACAAAACACAAACTTTCTAAAATTTAAAGCACATTTCACCAAAGACATGCGTATCAATCATTAATAACCACAATATGTGCCACACAAGGTAACTGTGCCCCCCTCACTTTGTTCATTTTAAGAAATAATGAGAAGCTTTTAATATGGTCATAAAGCATCTAAGACTAAGTAGAACAGAATCACAAGAATAATGATTTTTTCCAATTACAATTAATTATATCAAAAGGCTAGAATCAAAGCAAAGTATTTTTAAAAGGGCAATGGAAAATAGCTTAATGGCTAGACAGAAAGTCATATTTTGCTAATTTGCCTGAATAATAATTAGAATAATCATATAAAATCATGTTTACTTGTGGCATGTATATGATTCTGCTTATATGATTGTGATCTATGATACTTTTACATTATAGGCACCACCTATTCAATTACATATACCTATTTACATATGACATCCGGAGAGAAATGAACAAATGGTCTTAAATGCTTAATAATCAGTAAGGATACTTTTCAAGGTTTCAATGCCATATTACAAAACGGATCTAAATTAGTAATAAATTGAGCAAATGTTGTTGCTCTTAACTTACTATTCCAAATGGAATGGGGATTTTACTTGTATTTCACAATTTTTTCTCTATATGGTCTTTATAACTGATAATGTACCCAGACTCCTTTAAACTAATTTAGTCTAATTAGTGCAGCCCTTGATTAAGAAAAAAGCAAGAAGACAATGACAGTACAACTTATAGATTTATGTTCTTTTGTTTGTTGGTTTTTTTCCCCCCTGACAGGACTGAGAATGGAATCCAGGACTTCAGAGAAGCTAGCAAGCCCACTCTCAAGACCTACAACCCGAACACAATTTTGAAATTCTTGCCATTTCTTTAAAGATTCCCCCGTTTAGTGTTGGGAAACATTTGTATAACAGCACAAAATATGTGTCCTTAGACAAATTTCAATTGTATGACACTTTAAAATCATAGCTGTCTTACAGTACTTTATGTAATAAACGATTTTCTCTTGAAAAAAGTTCAAGTAGTACATTCATGTACAATATTAAAATCCTGTTAAGTAGACAAGGGAAGAGCTATTTTATTTAACAAAGCCTGCCACTCTACAACTTTAATGCAACATCTCTTTCTGGTTACAGTGAGTTAATGAAATATTCGAAGTCTTCTTTGTACTTTTAATCTGAGCATGAGTTACATTTACAAATTTACAAGATTATCTGAACGTCTGGGTTCATTTAAATGGGTAAAGAGAAAGTTGAAATATTTTAAACTACACTTGTTTTCTCATGAAAACCACAGACAAACTGAAATCAAGTGTCATGTGAAACACCCCAGTTTCCTTTACGGCCTACAGTAGGAGTTATGGCATTGTTCTGTTCAACTCTTAAACGAGTTCATTAAGCTTTCTACTTCCTCTTCTCTGCCAGAAGTCGGCTGCCTTCTCCTCGGTGACCATCAGGGTCACTGGGAAGATAAGGGTCAATATCCCACTAGACTGAAGGTGTGGCTTCAGTTCCCAGGGCCAGGAAAGCGCCCACCACCACCTGGGGCTGCTGGATGAACTTGCCTAACATGACAGCCCTAGCTATAAGGGAAACGAGCAAGTAAACACGCTCCCCTCAAAGAAACATTTATATCAAGTGATCACACTTCTCATTCCCACTCGTTATTTTATTTTCCCCCCACTAGGTATTTTAAAGCACAATCGAGAACTCTCTCGCCCTCTTGCTAACAAAACGTTCGTGCAGGCTGGGAGCAGGGGGGTCGACGTCTCTGCGCGGCACACTACACATGGAATCCCTACAGCTCTAAGGAGGAAAGAGCTAGTGTTTTCACTTGGGACGAGTTAAAACGCCACCGAGGGCTCTAACTGTTGCGCCACATTCTGTACAGCTGTCAGTCCAGGAGCGATTAGCTACCGGAACGTTTGTATTTAAAACAGAAAGCTCGCCCGAGGTCCTGAGGTTCCTCCTTTTGTTCGAAAATGTAAACCGGCGTCTCAATGCCAATCTTTAAGCGCTAGACTCCTGCGGTCCTTTACCGAGCTCACTCACCCCTCTAATCCTTAGACCACTTCGGTGGGAATTTCGAAGGTTCTGGCTATTATTACAAGGAGATCAGATTACAGTGCGCCGCTTTGATTTCGCACGCAAACCCCGAAGCAGGTAACTTTTTAAATGGCTGACAATTTGCCAGAGGAGACGATTTGAAAGGAAGAATGTCCCAACCCCAAACCGAGCCTCTGTCAGCTCCTTCCCAGGACTCGCAGGTGCTCACCCCGGCGCTCGCCTCCGTGCTCACCTGGGTACTCACCCGAGGCCATGGCTCGGCTCCGCGCGCCGCCCGCCTCAGCTCCCAGCGTCCGGCCAGAGGCTGCTAGCCAGTCAGCCGGGCGGTCAGTCAGCCGGGCGGTCAGCCAGCCGGGCGGTCAGTCAGCCGGGCGGTCAGTCAGCCGGGCGGTCCAGTCAGCCAGTCAGCCCGCCAGCCAGTCAGCCCGCCAGTCAGTCAGCCAGTCAGCCCGCCAGCCGGCAAGTCCGCCTAGGAAGGAGCCAGCAGGCCAGTCAGGCAGGAGGCCGAGCAGCCGCTGCAGCCCGACCCCAGTCCTCTGACCACCCCCGGGCCTCCTCTCCTTTCCCGCCCCCGGTGGGTTTGCGGCTCACACCTTCCCTCCCCTGAATCTGCAGGCTCGGGTCACTGGTGTCCTGGCGTCGCCCTGCCAGGATGCCGAGGCAGGACCAGGGGGCGGGGCGCACCGCCTGGCGGAACGGGGATTTCCCGCGCCTTGCGTCACTCGCGCCACCGCCTACCCGGGGCGGGGGGCGGAGCCTCGGGGCGGCCGCGCGCTCGCGCCCGCCTCCAGAGCTACGCGGCCTGCGCGCTCGCGCGAGGAGCGGCCGGGGGCGCGTGGTGACGGCCCCGCGCGCGCGCGCGGCCAGCCGCGGGCCCCGGAGAAATCCCCCTCCCCCGGTGGCCTTCAGAACGCGGCTTGAAGCCCGGGGCCGAGGGGCGTGTCCGTGACGTCGGCCGGGGGCGGGGCCGAGGCCCGCCCGGGGTTTTCGGAGCGGTGGTTCCCCCTCTTCCCTATTTCGCACATGCAAATCTCCGCCCCCGCGCCGGAGCGCGGCCGTCCGCCCGGGAGCCCTCGGAGGAAGTGCGGAAGCGCCGGCGCCTGCGTTGGGCTGCTAGGCGTGGATTTGCATACGGGGACCCCCGCAGTCTGATTTTCTCTCTGTATCGACCTTCCGTCGTTTGCGTACCAGGCGTTCTCAGCTCCGCAGGGCTGCGCGGCGAGGCCGCTGCCGCAGTCGCTGGATGTGAACACGACGTCCAGAGATTTGACCGCGATACCCACCACCTAAGGCCGAGACCGAACTTGTACTCGTTGACAGGCCTGGCGGAATCTTGGTTTGCCTCGGTTGCTCATGGGTACCTGGTCTCTTGGTATGTCAAACACGAGTTGACTGAGGTCTGGAGAAGTAGCTTGTAGGTACTTAAGACTGCTAGAAAGGAAAAGCACTATTTAAGTTGAAGATTACCCAGCCCAGTTTAATGCACTCCTAGCACTCGAGAGGCTGAGGCAGGAGGATTGTCTCAACAACAAAACTAACCAGGGTTATCTGGTTCTGCCTTCTGTGCTCTCCAGTGACTTACTGACTAAAACAAGTATAGGGCAAATAAAAAATGGCATCCTGAATGCTGACAAGATGGCTTAGGGGGTAACTGCGCTTGCCACCAAGCCTGACAACCTGAGTTCAGGGGAAAGGAAGAGGACCAACTTCCAAAAGTTGTTCTCTCTCTCACACACACACACACACACACACACACACACACACACCCTGCCTGTGCCCGAACGCATGCACTTGGAAGGACGCCAAAAAATGTTAATTAGATAATTAAAATATATGCTATCCTGTCATTAAAAAAGAGAGAGAAACCATTCTATCATACAAGTATCCCAAAGTGAAGGACACTCCTAGGGAAATAATTAAAATCTGTCAATTCAAAAGTGTCTTCACAAAAGTTATAAATAGCAGTTGTTGTTTTCTTGCTTAAACACAATCATAGGCAAACCACAAAGATAAGACAACAACAACAACAACAAAAAAGCAATTAGGGTGATTTATGTCCAGCACCCCGGAGTTCAAGGCAGGAAATTCAAACTTTGAAGCTAGGATGAGCTCACATCAAACTGACCCCAGAAATGTCCTGTCACCTGGACTGACATTGACTGTCTGCACCTAAACAGCTCTGTGTCTGAACAGCTGAATGCCTGCAGTGTGTTGGACTTCTTGCCCAATCTGCCATCCTCTTCCTTGTGCCTGTGTATGCTTCCTGCCTCTGACTTCAGGAACACCTCTGAATTCTGTAGCCTGTTACATTGTTTAACCATATATTCATGTATGTGTGTGTATTGTGTTACCTGACTTGAGAGCTGATGCTAATAACTGAAGTTAAAAGAACTGGTCTCCAACCAGCAGGTGGAAACTACTTAGGAAACCGTAGCCAACAAAATTGATGTAGGCTGTGAATTTATTTGTACTCAAAGTATTCTGATATTATAGAAAGACACAGACATATCTGTCCATGTTTCTGACATTCATGCCCATAACAAATATGTAACACTTTTAAGGTTGCCTTGCAAGGGGAGAGATGAGGGTCACAAGAGAAAGATTTATGTGGGCCTGCACAGTCTGCCTTCCTATTTTGCACACAAGTACAGTACACACTATCTTAGATTCCAGAGAAATTAGGAAACAGATATTGGTAAAGGAAAATGAGAACCAGTATGGGCTAATTGCTATAATCCTAATGCTTAGGAGAATGAAACAGAAGGGTGGTTGTGGATTGGAGGGCAGTCTGTGCTACAGAGTAACAGTGAAGGAAAGGAAGAGAGAGACAAACAGAAAGTAGATGTCAGTAAGTTCTGTCAGGCTCTGGCCTGGAAATTTTCTTCCCCTGACATCGTTCAATGTAAGGGTGGACTGGGCATTGAAGGAGGTTGGTGGTAACGGTGGTGCTGGACAGGCAGACCTCCGCTGAAATGGGGAAGGGACTTGGAGCTGCCTTTGCTAGAAAGCACTGACCTCTCACTTGGTTCTCAAGGCTTTAGACCAGTGGTTCTCACCCTTCCTAACACTGAGACCCCAACCATAACATCATTTTCACTGTTATTTTGCTACAGTTATGAATCATAACTGTGATATGAATAAATATCTGGAATCATAATGTCAATATCTGGTATGCGACTCCAAGGGAGTTGAGCTCCACAGGTTGAGAATGACTGCTTTAAAGGTAGGATGAAAGACTGGTGTCTTAGCTTTGTTTGGGGTCTGTTCCTTTACTCTGGCTGAAGGCACAGGGCCAAGTCACCCAGGAGCCCTGTAGTTTCAGACTTCACTACCACATCTGCCTTTATATGGGTTCTTAGGGGGTCTAGACTCAGCTCCTTATTCTTGTTTGGTCATCACTTGACTCACTGACATGTCTATTCAGCCTGGGAGCCATGTTTGACTCACTGTCACCTCCAGCCTACCGTCCAACATCCACTCACCATATAGCCTAATCCGATGCATTGTATTTTCCTTCTGTGATAGGGATTACACTTAAGGCCTGCAGGAATGTTCAGTCTTTTGACATTGTTATAACACATTGTCACATAGAAAGTTCACACTTGAGAACAGCATAGTTAAGTTGCAAAGAAAAAAACTTGAAAAACAAACAAAAACCTCGTACTGTTTTAAGTGATCGTGATTATTTTGTGTTTGGTTGCACCATAGCTATCCTGGGGCACCTGTGATCCATGAACTTTAGGTTAGATCCACCTGGAAACATGCTAAGAATGTCAAGTGTGCCACTGACCTATGGCTGTAGCCCTTTTCTTCATTTTGACTGCCACCGTCATTGGGAAGTCTTTGTGATGTCTCAGCTGAACAACTGGAATGTTCTAAGTATTTTTATGGCTGTCCTCTTGAAAAATCTATTCAAATCTATTTCTGCCTGAGTCACCTGTGTGGATGCACATCAGGTCACACCACATGTGTGATTTAAAACCATCGTTGGGTCCAAACACCCAGTTTCCAGTCTCTTTCCTAATCTAGCCACTGCCTCCTTCCTTGGCTTCTCTTCTTGTATTTTATCCTGTGAACTGCTTTATGCCCCTGAGATGTATAAGCAAGGCTTTTTCCTAGGCATCTGCTTTTGTTCTTGGATAACTCCTTTCTAGAGACATTTCAGTATTTCCAAATGATCACTTCCTAGCTGTGACCCCTACACACACACTCTTTTGTTTTCAGCAAAGTCTGCACTACAGTTCGGAGCCTATGGGTGTCTATGATTTATTTTATTCTGAACGTGGCTATATATATCTATTCAGTTTGGTGGCAGCTATGTCTTTTGTTCTTTCAACAAAAATTGTATGGACCAATTTTACTTTTTATTCTTTTAATATCTTATCTGGAGTCAGATCCAAAAGACCTCCATTTGCTACTTAGATTTGTTAGTTTCTTGAATTATAAAGTCTTCACTGCTGTTATTAAGAATTATGAGGTGTGTGTGTATGTGTCTGTGTGCGCGTGCACATGCGCACCTGTGCAAGCATGCAGGCATGGTGGTTGCATCATCCCTTTAATCCCAGCACTTAGTATGCAGATCTCTGTGAGTTGGAGGCCAGTCTGGTCTACAGAGCTAGTTCCAGGACAGACCCCAAAGCTACAGAGAAACCCTGTCTGGAAAAAAAAATAATAAATTAAAAAATGACATTGAGTCAGGAATGGTGGCTGACACCAGTAATTCCATCACTCAGCAGGATTACCACCATGAGTTTGAGCTGGTCGGCTACATTGTGATGTCCTGTCTCAACACAAATAAGCAAGTGACTCCCTCCTTGATGCAATCACAGCCTGACATTAGAGTGTTGTTATATTGGACTTGCAATTTTCATGCCTTAAAAATCTTTCTGAAGTAAAAATACTCCCTCAATTTATGAAGTGTTCACATTCCTGGAAAATTCAGTATACATATTAACCCCACATACAAAATATGCTGCTTTGTGTGTAAAGGGGGCTATGTCAATGCTTGTTTTGGTTATAAAAGTCTTCCCACCTTCATGAACGGGAATGGCAAGAGGTTGGAAAGTTGGGAGATTTCCACAGTGCTTGCTGCACTGGACTGCTCCTTGCAGAGCATAGAGCAGCCTTTGGTACCCCAGTTCTAAGGGAAGGATAACCCTTACCACTGTGACAGCCAACAGCTTGGTCACAGATTTCCCAAATAATCCACGGTGGTTTGAAACTGGTTTACAGTTTTGGTGGTCCTTAACATCGCTGCGGAAAGTTACTGTACACACAGATTCTTTGCTTCCACTCCCAGAAATTCCGTCAGTAGATAGGGGAGCAGCCCTAGGGTCCACAGCTCATTTCCTGAC